CGCACTTCCCTGTGTCTTCCTTGGTTTCCTAAAGAACTCCACTAACTTCACCTTCTACCACCCTCCCCTTCACCGGTTCTTTGACTCCCGTGACGTCCGTTTTGACGAGTCAGTCCCATACTACACCTGGTACCCCTGTCGAGCTCTCCCGATTCCTCCTCCCCCTCTCTTCCTGAATCCCACTCCGCCTCCTACTCCTCAGGTACAACCTCCCCCCCTGGTCTAGCCCCGTCAGGTGTGTCACACGCTACCCTCCCCCCCCCCCCCCCCCCGGGTAGCCCCTCAGGTCCCGTCCCCTTTTCCGCAGTCTTCCTCACTGTCATCGCAACAACCGCCACCACTTCCTCCACAGGCTGCCGCAGACCCTGAGGGTGCCGGTGTCCGTAGCACGGACCTTGGAGGTGTTACCTCTGGAGGTGTTGGAGCTGAGAGAGTGCCTGCACGAGGTCCTAGTGCTGGGGGTGCTGGAGTTGGAGCTGAGCCCGTGTCTGCAGGAGGTTCTAGTCTTCGGGGAGCTGGTGTTAGTCGAGCTGTCCCTGGGGGTGCTACGACTGGGGGTGCGGGTGCGCCCTCTGCTGGACCTGGAGAGCCTGGGACTGGTCACGTTGCTGCTGGTGGTGCTGGCTCTGGGGTTGGTGCCACTAGTGCTTTTGAGAGCGGTCCTAGGGCTACCACCGCCCCAGACACTACTCCTCCCCCCCACCCCTACCCGACCCGGCACCAGGCCCGTCTTCGCCGTGCACGTGAGGAGCAGCTGGAGTTGGAGCAAGAGAGGCTAGCGTTGGAGCGGCAGCAACTGGAGCTACAGCAGCTGGAGGAGCAGCAGCAGCAGCAGCAGCAGGAGCAGCAGCCACCGCAGCAGGAGCAGCAGCAGCCGCCACAGCAGGAGTAGCAGGAGCAGCTACGGCCGCATCAGCAGCAGTAGCCGCAGCAGCAGCAGCAGCAGCAGCGGCTGCCTACGCCTCCTATCTTTGGCCTTTGGGCCCTTGGTCTCCCCTCCCCTTCTCCTCCCTCCCTCCCCTCTCCTCCTATCTACGGTCTCACGTTTCCTCCTCAGATGTTTTCTCCCGTTCTCAGCCTCCGTTGTCCCCTCCTCTTTCTCACACTTGGGCTTCTCGCTCTCCTCATGCTCTTCCTCGTCCCCTGTTCCCGTCATTGAACTCCGTACTGTCCTGTTTCATTCTACCTCCCCTCGTCCGACTCCCTCTGTGCTTCCTTCTCCCCCTAAGTCGGCCCTTACCACTTCCCTCGCTACTCATGTCATTGACTATTACCGCACGTACCGTCCTGTTCTCTCTCGTGTTCTCGCCTCTCTTGTTATGGACCCTTGTGCATGCTATTCTCTGTCTCCGCCCTTACTGCCACTGTCACTGAGTTCGCCACTACTCGCCGCCTTGACTACGCCACTCGTGTCGTGGCTGCTCCTCCTACCCGTCCTCTGGCCGTCGGGGGTGAGTTTGCCCTTGGCTGTGACGCCCTAGAGGACAGGCAGTTTGAGCTAGAGTTGTTGCTCGCCCCTGAGGGAGACCCTGACGCCCTTGACATACCGACTCCTCGCACTTACGCTGAGGCAGTGTCAGGGCCTTGGGCCTCTCAGTGGAGAGCTGCCATGGACGCAGAGATGGCCTCCTACAGATCCACAGGCACCTACGTCGACAAGGTTCTCCGTCCAGGGGCGAATGTACTTGATGACATGTGGATCTTCAAGATAAAGCGGCCACCGAGATCTCCTCCGGTCTTCAAGGCACGCTACGTGGCTAGAGGTTTCAGTCAGCGTGAGGTATTTGACTTCTTTCAGACCTTCACGCCTACCCCAAAGATGACCACTCTTCGGGTGTTACTTCACGTGGCAGCACAGAGAGACTATGAGTTACACTCTCTCGACTTCTCCACTGCCTTCCTTCAACGGTAGCTTACACGAGGAGGTCTGGATGCGTCGTCCCTCTGCCTTCACTGGCACTTTCCCTCCTGGGACCCAGTGGAGGCTCAGACGTCCGGTCTACGGTCTCAGTCAGTCACCTCGTGAGCGGCACAACACTCTTCGCTCTACCTGTCTGACCTCGGTTTCTAGGCATCTTCTGCCAACCCTTCGCTGTTTGTTTGTCGTGGCTCCACACCTTTCTTTGTATTGGTCTACGTCGACGACCTGGTCTTCATCACTGCTGACATGGTTGCTTTGGCAGACGTGAAGTCTGAACTACAGAGGAGGCACACATGCACTGATCTTGGTGAGCTGCGCCACTACCTTGGCCTGCAGATCACTAGGGACAGAGCAGCTCGCACCATCACTCTGACCCAGTCACACATGGTGCAGCAGGATCTTCAACGGTTCGGGTTTCAGTTCTCCACTGCACAGCCTACTCCTGTTGCTATTGACCGTAGACTCACTAAACCCTTTCCTGACGAGTCGTTTGAGCCTAGTGGTCCTTACCCAGAGCTTGTGGGCTGCCTCATGTACTTGATGACTTGTACTCGCCCGGACCTTGCCTTCCCTCTCAGCATCCTTGCTCGCTTTGTTGAGCCAGTGAGACACCGTCCTGTTCATTGGGCAGCTGTTATGAGGGTGGCAAAGTACCTACGACGACATCAGCCGTTGGGCCAGTGCTTGGAGGGAGACAGTCTGTCGTGCTTACTGGTCACTGTGCCTCTTCTCACGCCGACGACGTTGAGACTTACAAATCCACGCAGGGGTACTGTTTCTGTCTAGGCTCTGGAGCTGTGTCGTGGAGGTCTACTCGTTCCTCCTCTGTCTCGACCTCTATTGCTAAGGCCGAGATTTACGCTGGAGCCATGGCTGCACAGGAGCTGCGTTGGTTGACCTTCTTGTTGAGTGACCTTGGTGAGCGGCCGAGCACCGACCTTGTTCTCAGACAACAAGACGACGATTCTCCTGTGTCGAGAGCCTCGACTGGAGAGCAGAGTGAAGCACATCAACGTCAGGTACGTTGTTCTTCGAGAGTTGCAGAGGCGTGGACAGGCTCGTTTGGACTTCGTGGGCTCCGAGGCCAATACTGCAGACATCTTCACCAAGGCCCTTCCGCCTTGTGATTTCCAGGGCCTGTGCTAGGATTTAGGGCACCCTGAGCCCTCAGGGTAACTTATGAAAACTTTCCAAAATGCCCTGATTTCTCAGGGCAAAATTTCCTCGCCATCCTGAAGTTTCAGGGCACCAGCAGAAACTCATCTGAATGTTTCAGGGCAAAAAATTCAAGACACTAAAGTGGATGGAGGGGAAGGCACGAAAGGAGCAGGTTGTTCAATGGTTTCACTTCACCTGGCTGAGCAAAAACATTGGTGGGGGAGGGGTGGGGACAAAACTAGCACACACACCCCCCAGCCTCCTTCCTCACCTCACCCCCTCTCCCCCCTCCACCCCTTCTCCCCTTCCCACGAGTCAGGGCATCCCCCCACATTCACCCTAACACTTCAGGGCAAAATTTCACTGCCATTCTGAAATTTCAGGGCAGAAGACATGAATCATCCTGACGTCCCAGGGTAAAATTCATCGCCATTCTGAAATTCCAGGGAAAACTTGAATCGCCATCCTCAAATCAGGGTAATCAGGATGTTTTGTGGGCCCTGGTGATTTCCACAGGTTTTGTGTGCAGTTAGGTCTCGTTGACACATGTTCTCATCTAATGTAAACTTTGTTTTGTCTGCTTGCTTTGTTTGCACTCTTTACATATATACCTCTGTGAACTCTTCGACTGGCCTTGTCGCCTCTTGTTTGTGCTCGGACAGTGTGGTAACGTTGTGATCCACCCTGAGCTTTGTCTCTTTGTGACTGGTCTTGTGACCGTACGGTTTGGTTGTTGCGTGACACCCCTCACTTAGGCTATGGGGGTGTGTCAAATGTTGTAGCCTGTAGTGAGGCGTGCCATGTGGGGTACAGTTGTTAAGGTTAGGTATATGTACCCCAACTCACAATGATACACACACAGGCCTTTTTTTTATCAGTATAATTTACTCTGTTTCTCTGAAAATCAGAGTGGTTTTTAGGGGGGCACTCTGTACCTGCTGGGTAAAATTTTCAAGAGTTACTTGTTCTCTGATCAGCCAGGGTTTTTGTGTAAGTTCACTCTGGAGCGCCAGTGTTCCTTTGTCGAATAGTGAGTTTACTATGAATGGAGGATACATGTACCCCCGACCCCCCACGTTCCCCCTTATCCCCTCGATGCCGGTTTGGACAGGAGCGCAGGGGATATCAGTCTTGTTTCGCCCGTGTGTTGGCACTACCTGAGGCGCCGATAGGCCGGAATGGCATATTTCGTGCCAGCGCACTCAACTCGCCACCCAGTTGATACATCGCTGGCACGACGTACCCCATCAGCAATGAACAACTCCCACTTTGGGGCATGATATGGCAGCTTCCTGTGGTGCTCTGAATTCGTGCGCGGCGCGCACGTCCACACATGTTGCTCGGCTGGCAGACGGGTCTCCACCAAACCCCATCCTTTCTGAGCCATTATGTTTCACCCTCCAGCACTGCTCTTCAACGTTCTAGTCTAGCACATGTTCAGAGGACTTCTCTAGCCACAGCCCCGCCTCCGTAAGCTCTTTTTTTGCCGTCAATATCATGGACACTAGCGACGCCGAGGGAGACGCGGCTGATCCCGACGACAGGCCGACATGTAGCTGTTGGAGTAGGCTAGTGCTCGCTCTGGCATTTATCATGGTGTTCCTTTGTTATTTCACCATGCTTAGAGCGAGTTACACCTCCGGTTCAGTTTAGGTTCATTTAATAGTTTCTAGCACAAACTGAACACACCCTAAGTTCAATTAGGGTTTCCTACTTTTGTCTCTCGACACTTTTTCCTAATCAATTTTCTTCAACCTATCTTCCTAGCCATGGCTACCACTCCTATATTAACAGTAGCGCCCCCGCTGCGACAGGGCTTCAGTTTCTCCGCGCTGTGCATGCAGATCACGCTCGCGATGAAGAGGAGCTGGGCGATGGCGGTACCGAATGGATGCGCCGTCCTCGCAAGGACAGTGGCGGCATGGAAGACGAGGACGACGGTTGGTGTCCTTCTCCGCGCCCGATGAATGACGCTGCTCAGTCCGACGGTGTTGAGGAGTGGATCGCCTCGCCGCAAAACGAGGTTGCTGCAGAGCCGGCTGAAACGGTTGCAACGCAGGTTGTCGATGCGGCTACTCCTGAGTCATCCGGTTCAGTCGCTGTGAAGAAGCGTCGATTCACGCAGCAGGTTCTGCAGTGGGAAACACCGCCTCCGAAGCCCGTCGCTCCACCTCCCCGTGCTGCCCCACCCCCCATTCGTCCCCTTACAGACGAGGAGAAGAAGGAGAAGGCATACCTGAAGGCGCAGAAGAGCTACACGTCTGATTGGCTGCCAAAGTTTGACTGGCTCATTCTGGACAAGACGCCAGAGGGTGACCCGTGCCTGCGCTGCAGTGTCTGCATGGAGCACGGGAAGGACAACGCGCAGTACGGTCGCAATGGCGCTGGCGGTCGTGATCTGCAGATCGGGTCGATGCGGTGGCACGAGAACAGCGCGAAGCACGAGGACGCCATGAACAAGCTGGCAAACCTTCTGCAGAAGATCGTGGACCAGAAGAAGATAGAAGACTTCGCGAATGGTGATCCGGAAGGCTGTCGCGTCGTAGTACTCATGCGCGCCATGCGATTTGTGTGCCGTACCGACACACCCATCCACATGTACCCACAGATCGTGCAGCTGCTCGCAGAGGAGGGGGTCGCCCACATTCCGCGACAAAGCTATGGAGTGTACATCACTCAGTGAGTTGCTGTTGACGGTATTGCCTTCGATGCAACCGTTTTTGTTTAACGAGGCTAATGCGTTGTGCTATGTGAATGCGCAGGTACGGTTTCTCCGAGATGGCGAAAGCTCTCACCGCGTATCTGACCAGGGAGCAATTGCGAGTCCTCCACGCCTCGCCCTTCATCGGCCTCATGTGCGACGAAAGTACCGATCGCGCCCGTGGCAAACACATGATTGTGTTTGTCACGTTCCTCAAGATGAGCGTGGTTGTAACCGAGTTCCTCGCGTTACTAACCGTGCAGCAATGTGATGCGGCATCGCTGATGGGCGCATTGCTCCAGCATCTCGAGACAGTGGGCGTCGACTTGAAGAAGATTTCCGGAATGTCCACGGACGGCGCGGCAGTGATGATTGGGGGCACGTCCGGCCTTGTCACGCGACTGCGCGTCCACGTCCCCCACCTTGTCGGCTGCCACTGCATTGTGCATCGGTATGTTTGTCGTGGCTGTTAATTTTGAATGACCGTTTTTACGTTAGTCGAATTTTATGTCATGTAACAATCCTATTCTGCTCGCCCCACTATTGCTTGCAGCGAAGCACTTGCTGTGAAGGAGACGGCCGAAGCCGAGCAGTTCCAAGATTTCCGGATGGTAGACAAGGCCATCCGTGCGTTGGGCGAGATCGTGGGGAGATCCACCCCGTGGTACGAGCGGTTCAAAGAGCTCCAGATCGTGATCCAAAGCACCAACCTCGAGCACCAGGGACTGTTAGACGTGCGCTGGCTCTCCCGTGCCGATGCGGTCAACCGGCTTGAGAAGATTTTGGGGTCGGCAATCGTGCTCTTTCTGGAGTACGAGCACAAGATCGCGTTGGTTGTGAAGACGCTGAAACTCCACTTCTGTCTGTATTTCCTGGCAGACATTTTGGGGGAGTTGAACTCCCTGAATCGGTTTTTCCAACGACGCAAGGTAAAACGTGCCCTAAATGATTATTGTTACACCCGGTTAGTCGTGTTTAATATTCTTTTAGCCAAACATACTAATAAACCCCTTTTCGCGCTTGTCTGTGCGTCAGGTCGAGGTGTCGCAAGTGACAGAGGAGGTCGACTGTGTGGTGTCCCTCATCGAGCACCGCTACATCGACTACGATGGTGGTTTCGGGGCGGGGCTGAGCCCCAACTTGTCTCCATTCATGGCACGTCTCAAGAAAGGGGACAAGAAGGTGAAGGTGGACGGTGTGGACGCGAGCGGGAGACCCGTCAAGCACACCTTCGAGCTCAGCGAGCTGCCGGGCAAAAAGCACAAGTTCGGCGGGACGCTAGCAGAATGCGTTAAGTTGGGCAAGGCCTTCGCCCGCGAGGTCGTGTTCAACCTGGAGCACCGCATGCGAGATCTTCGTCGAATGGGCGGCATGAAGCTTTTCAGGGTGGACAAGTGGCCAGCGAATCCGGACACGCGTGTGAGACGTTGTGCCACGTGGCTCTGCGAGAACTCGCAACTGTTCAACCACCAGCTGCCAGGTATGTGTATATAACTTCCATCGTGTGTGTGTGCTATCCCTGTAATATTGCCACACGTCAAACTGTAAATAACATTTCCGTACCCCAAAAACCCTGTGCTGCGCGTATTGTTTTGGCAGGATTCGAATTGCGGGCAGCCGAACTTGAGCTGAAAACTTTCTGCCATGTCATGAGGACGCACCACAAGGACGAGGACTTCTACCAGGCGCTGACAAACATGCTCAGGTCACGCGACTGGCGGCGAACTTACCCCAACATGATGACCCTGTGGCAGGCGTTGGCCGTCCTGCCACTCAGCACCGTCGAATGTGAGCGCCAGAACATCATCAAGAGCTGGCAGCGCACGGCTCTCAACGACACGCGGCTTATCGAACTCATGAGCATCCACATGCTCGACTACAACGTGGAGTGGCCAGATGTCGTGGACATCTGGCGCAAGCAGAAGAAGAGGCGGCCTACAAAATCCCCTGCACCCTTCCAACCAGCCAATGACAAGGGCAAGCCAGAGGCCAGTTCGGACGACGAACAGGAGGCTGATGTGGCAGACGATGAGTGAGCCTGTGGTAGTGAAGTTTATGTACAACGTTTATGCGAAGTTTAACAATTCAACATTTCAGACAAAACAACAGCAATACCGTATTCCCCCCGGATAGAAGACCCCCCTAAAATACAACACCCTCGGGTACCTAATACGGGAGGGGGTCTTATTAAACCTAAAAAACATTATACCCCCCCTTTGGGGGGTAATCAATATAAGACCCCCCTGCTTCCCCTATAGGGGGCTTTTCCATGTACTTTTCCTCTGATTCGTTTGAAACTGAAACAACTTATAGTGCGAATTCGGTTGTCGCGGGGTGAATTCAAGTGTCACGGGGTTCATTTGCTGCGTCAGGGGGCGAGTTTGCTGCGTCAGGGGGCGAAATTGCACCGTCGAGGGGCGAATTTTACACTGACACATGTGAATTCGATGTGACCGGTCAAGCGATCAACTTTCGCATGGTTGGTGCGCGCCAAAAGCACACCCAACACTTCAGTATTGACTATGGTGTTGAAAACACTAAAAAAATATTGGTCGTATGAAAAGACCCGAGTATTATAAATTTTTTTCCTTTGTGAAGACCCCCCCAACTTTTTCTAGGGATTTAGGATAAGACCCTAGGGTATTATATCCGGGGGAATACGGTAATAACCAATGTGTAACCATCAGGGTTACGGATAAAAATTACCACTCTGAGGTCACAGGGTTTTAAAACTGAAAGCCAGTGTTACACTGACATCTAAGAGCAAGGCTCGCCAGCCACTCTGGATTTAAAGCAAGGGTGCACTTTGGGGGGGGTGGAGGCAAAGGTTTATCACTTGCCTCCACGTGGTTACCCTGTTTGTGTTGGGAGTCCGAGCGAACCACACTTTAGTGTTGGCAGACTTGCGCGGGCTGTTTCTCCCCCGTCGTCAAGTGTGACGGGCCAACTGGGGGTTGGGAACTTGAGTCACCACCAGGCAGTTTGTGAACCATGATGTGCTCGACTCTCGTACCACGACACATATTGCAAGCAGGGAATAGTTCAGCAACCACAAACTTAGAGAAGCACAGTTACGCCGTCTACAAATGGCGGAACTTAGAGTTATTGCCAGCGAATCGCACCCGCCCCGTGTTTATCTCGACCGCACTGGATGCGTTTTACGCCCGCGACGGCGCATGCAGCACATGCCTTTCGTATCGAGCGGACGGCTAGATCGCACCCAAGTCGCCGATGACACGTGTTGTAATTGACTGCTATCCCCGCCTACCACTGCGCAGCCCACTCCGCGCGAACCAGGTCCAAACGCCATGCCTCGCTTCCTATCCAGATCTAACCCCGCATTCGCCTTAGTGTTGCACAATGCTCTGCACACCAATGTTCGGGAGGAAATGGCACTCACACACCGCCTTATTACGTGACGTAAAGACAGAAGGTTATCTCTCCCGTCTGCGTGTCGCGAGTAGAGCTCACCCCCCCGTCCCTGCTGCCCATTCGCCGCTTTCTCGCTGAATCGCCTCTGCAACCTACTCCCCTTTCTCCCTTGCTCCGCGTTCTGCTCGACATGCGCTCTATCCACTCCCGTGACGATCTCCCTATCAGCGAATCTCCTCCCTTCTGACCATAGCAGCGCCTCTCCCCTCGCCCCCGCAGTGACTCGCCTCTCCCCCCGGCGTCGCGTGCGCCCTTCCCCTGGCGTCGCGTGCGCCCTTCCCCCCGGCGTCGCGTGCGCCCTTCCCCCCGGCGTCGCGTGTGCCCTTCCCCCCGGCGTCGCGTGCGCCCTTCCCCTCGGCGTCGTGTGGCCACTTCCTCTTGGCGTCGCGCTGTTGAGGTAGAGTAGCATCGCTGATTGATGCACATTTCGGTACGCGCCTCCCTTCACACAGCCTCTCTACATGCTGGGCCATACGCCCGTCCGTACTCAATGCATTCACCCTTTCCCCCTCGTTACCCCTTCTTCCCGCTCACAAATACTCCATCACCCATTACCCCTTTTTTTCCCTTACTCCCTTCTCAAATATCCTGTTCACTACCATACTCCCCTAGGCTATCCGCTTTCTCTCCCTTACTCCTCTCTGCTGTACCCCTTACTCTCCCGTCCTCCCTTCGGCTATACCCCCTTACCTCCCATAGCTAACGGCCATACCCCTTTTCTCTCCCTTCCTCCCCTCGGCTATACCTCTTTCTCTGCCATACTCCCCTCGGGGATGCCCCTTTCCGTGCCATACTACACTCCTATCCCCCTTTCTCTCCCTCCCCTCTGCTATACCTCTGACTCTCCCTTACTCCCCTCTCAAATGCCCCTTTCTGCCCCCTACTCTCCTCGGCTATACCCCCCTCCCTGGAACCCCCCACCCTTTCCCCTCTCCCCTCCCGCGCGCAACCCCCACCTGTTCCTGCAGACTCCAGCGGTGCAAGAACAGCATGCTGCAGCGCAAGCTTTCTTAGGGACATCCCGAAATCTCCGCCCTTCCCCCTCACTGCCCTCCCCGCCCTTTCCTCTCGTCACCATGCCCGTTCCCCTCCGTGTCCCCCTTCCCCACCCCTCAGGTGTGTGAGGACCGTGTGCCGGCAGACTGCATGGTGCTGCGCAAGCTGCCGCAGGCCATGCGCGAGTGGCCGCGCCTGCGGTATAGTGAGGTGGAGGGGGGAAGAAGGGGGAGAAGGGGGGTGGGGAAGGGTGAGGAGGGGAAGTGGGGGAAAGGGGAAATGGGGAGGAGGAGAAGTGGGAGGAGGGGTAACGGGGTAAGGTGAGGTCTACGAAACAAAGAGTGGGTTTTTTCTCCTCCGTTTCTGTCACCCCTCTCCCCACTCCACTCCCCCACCCCTCTCCCATACACCTCCTGCTCCCTCACCTCTCTCCTCCACATTTCCCTCCACCCCTCTCCCCCACCCTTCTCTCCCTGCCCCTCTCCCCCACCCTTCTCTCCCTGCCCCTCTCCCCCACCCTTCTCTCCCTGCCCCTCTCCCCCACCCATCTCTCCCTACCCCTCTCCCCCACCCTTCTCTCCTTACCCCTCTCCCCCCCTTCTCTTTCTGCCCTTCTCAGCCCCTTCGCCCTACCCCTGCCAGAAGGCAGTGAGATCAGGAGGCCAGCGCACACTTCGCTCCCCCACACCCCTCCTTTACGCCTCTCCCTCAACCCTCTCTCATCCCCCCACCACCCGCCCCAACACTCTCCTGCTGCACCATGCCTTTGCCAGGAGGAGCCAGCCCCCAAGGAGGCAGAGGGATCAGCTAGAAGCCAGCACAAGTCGCAATACGCGCAAATTACCGACGTGGGGCTGTAGGGCACTGCTGTTGTCACTCTATTTACCCCATGATCGCATGCCCCCTGTCCTATCTTCCTTTCCATCATAACTCTCTCTCGTAACCCAATTCTCTGCCTTATCCCCCCCGTAGCTCCCTCCCTCCCCTCTCTCCCGTGTCCTATCCCCTCACCCCGCCCTGTCCTATCCCCTCACCCCGCCCTGTCCTATCCCCTCACCCCGCCCTGTCCTATCCCCTCACCCCTTACAATCACAGGCGACGACAAAGACCCAGACGAGCTGCATTGACTTGCCACCTTCCCTTGATCCTGCTACCGGTATCAGCATCTCAAAGGCCCAGACGAGGCACACTATGTCAAGGGACCGCTTGCAGATTCGGAACGGAAACACCCACGAGTAGAGCAAAGGCTCGAATTTGTATTGTATAGGGATACTGCATGCTTTTGTCATGTGTATTCTCGAAATAATGTGTGTGGATATAAAATGTTTACATCTTATGGCCTGCCTGATCCGGTGAGTGTTCTACTGGAACAGGGTTACACACAAAACTACCAAAGGCTAACATGACAGCAGCGTGAACAGCAACTTGAGTACATTATCAATATGTTGTAACATGCCATTGAATGTCGCAACGAGGGCACACAGCAGCCTCAAATGAAATCAAATCTTACTTTCTGGCTCAATGCTGCAAAGCATAGCTCACAATGAGAGGGAAGGTGGGAAGGACTGGGCAGGGAAATTAGAAACAGGGAATGGAGGGAACGCACATGTGCAGAGGCAGACAGGGCACGATAAAGGGGAGGCACAAGCAGAGAGATGGGCAGCAAAACAAGAGACAGGGTGCGATGAACGCAACACTGCATGCAGCGGCAATGGAGCATGAGACAAGTGCCTGACTTGCTGAGGTGGCAAGCAGAACCTGGTAGCTGCGGGTGGGCGCAGCCATGAAGTAGCAGAGGTTGCCCCACTGTGAGGTTCAAAGGGTACTGCACAGTGGCGCCCCTGTTGCATGCACCAGCTGCCGTGCACCCTCCAGGTAAGACAGTGTCACGCACTGGTGACCGCGGAACTGGGACAATACGCCTATAGAGGTACATGGTCGTGATGAGAGAGGGGAGGAAGAGATGAGAGAAGGGAGGAAGGGATGAGAGAAGGGAGGAAGGGATGAGAGAAGGGAGGAAGGGATGAGAGAGGGGAGATAGAGATGAGAGAAGGGAGAAAGGGATGAGAGAAGGGAGGAAGAGATGAGAGAGGGGAGGAGGGGATGAGAGAGGGGAGGAAGGGATGGGAGAGGGGAGGAAGAGATGAGAGAAGGGAGGAAGGGATGAGAGAAGGGAGGAAGGGATGAGAGAGGGGAGGAAGAGATGAGAGAAGGGAGGAAGGGATGAGAGAAGGAGAGAAAGGGATGAGAGAAGGGAGTAAGAGATAAGAGAAGGGACAAAGGGATGAGAGAAGGGAGGACGAGATGAGAGAGGGGAGGAGGGGATGAGAGAGGGGAGAAAGGGATGGGAGAGGGGAGGAAGAGATGAGAGAAGGGAGGAAGGGATGAAGGGGAGGAATGGATGAGAGAGGGGGGAAGGGATGAGAGAAGGAAGGGACGAAGCAAGCCTCAAACGGTGGGAGCAGGGATGAACGGAGGAGGGATGGAGGCATGGAAAAATGAAGGATGTAGAGAGGAGGACAGGGGGGAGAAGGGAGGGCAGGGGGTAGAGGGGAAGACAGGGAGGAGAGGGGAGGGCAGGGGGTTAGAGAGGGCAGGGGGGAGCAGGGGGGAAGGAGGGAGGGGAGGGGAAGGAGGGGAAGCAGGGGGGGAAATGGTGGGGAAGCAGGGGGGGAAAGGAGGGGAATCAGGGGGGAAAGGAGCGGAAGCAGGGGGGGGGGGAAGGAGGGGAAACAGGGGGGGGAAGGAGGGGAAGCAGGGGGGGGGTGGAGGGGAAGCAGGGGGGAAAAGGAGGGGAATCAGGGGAGGAAAGGAGGGGAAGCAGGGGAAGAAAGGAGGGAATCAGGGGGGAAAGGAGGGGAATCAGGGGAGGAAAGGAGGGGAATCAGGGGGGGAAAGGAGGGGAATCAGTGGGGGAAGGAGGGGAATCAGGGGGGAAAAGGAGGGAATCAGGGGGGGAAAGGAGGGGAATCAGGGGGAAAAGGAGGGAAAATTGAGTGGATGGGTTTGAGCTGGGGGAGATTGGAGGACAGGAGCGAGGCGGCGATGTGGGGGGGAAAGCGTTTTGGCGAGGCGGCGAGTGCGGAAGGCGGCGATGTGGCGAGGCGGCGAGGCGGCGAGGCGGCGATGTGGGGGGGAAAGGCGTTTGGCGAGGCGGCGATGTGGCGAGGCGACGAGGCGGCGAGGCGGCGAGGCGGCGAGGCGGCGATTTAGCGAGGCGGCGAGTGCGGGACGCGGCGATGTGGCGAGGCGGCGAGGCGGCGAGGCGGCGAGTGCGGGAGGCGGCGATGTGGCAAGTCGGCGAAACGGCGAGGCGGCGATGTAGCAGCGATGAGAAGGCTTCTATCGCGGCGAGGCAGCGATGTGGCGGCAATCTGGCGGCGATGCGCTGATGAGAAGGCGAGGCGGCATTGGAGGTCGCATTGGCGTCAATTGCGAGGCAGTGAGGACAGAGAAACGACGCAGCGCGCAGGCGACGACGTCGCGTTTACGCCGCGACGTCGCCATTCGCATGCGATGCGGAATAACCTTGTACCCGTGGAGAAACGAGCACTACTCGCGGGCTATGCCGGTGTCGCGCTTAGGGAATGGCTGCATAGGTTCCCGCTATTCGTGAAGTGGTTTCTACGCTTTGAAGCACAAGCTATCCCTGGTTTATCACTCGCATTGTCAGGTTGGTCGACCCCGCTGGGTTCTCGGATTCCTCCGCCCTCCCGCGGTGTGTTCCCCCAACCCAACCATGTAGTGCGAAAATGGTTGGCATCGCCTGCCTTGTTTCAATTCCTCGCATCAGCTTTACGTACCCTAGACAATTCGCCCTCGAATCAGCAAGCGCTAAAGGGTGTTCTCTGACATACACCCAAAAACCACCCCTAGGAAAGTGCACCGCCGCTGGAAAACAAGAGTGCTCCAAAACCAAAAAACAGCCCTGTACACACATCATTTCGTTTCTGACAAAACCGTGCTAGACGAGGGCCTCCACTCCGGACCTGCGTGGTTTGGAAATGTCGCGGTCGGTGCGGGGCAACTCGGAAAGTGGTTCGGGCCGAAGTGTAGGCCGAACCCCATTGACGCGAAGTGTTTAGGCTGTCCTCACTAGGAGCAGGCTCTACAATAATGAATTCTTAATCATTACAAGTTGGGTGTGAGGTAAAACTAACTTTGGGGCTTGATACATGCAGTTAAATAAATACAAAGTCTCGTGAAAAAACATGTTGGTTCTACAGCCACATAAATACAGACTCCCAACAAGGGTTCCCAGTGTGTGAATCACCCCCTCCCTGCTGCCTGACTGGTGCTCGTCCATTCTGCTGGTGCTGCTGCTGGCTGGGCGGCACCACCAGCCTGTCCCTCGTCTCAGCCGTTTCCTGCTGCCATGTCACACTGTGAGCTACAGCATCAAGGGCGGGCGGGGAGGTGGAGAGCAGGGCAGCGAGGTCGAGGGACTCAGCAGGGCCGCCAGTGCGCTGCGCCACAATGAGCCGGTTGCCGTGCACCACCGCCCTGCATGCTCCACTCGCATGCTGCCGTGCGTGGGAGCGCGGGAGGGGGTGGGGAGGATGAGGAGTGAGGAGTTGGCCAACGATGTGGGCAGTGGAGGAGAGGTATGGAGGAGAGGTATGGAGGCGAACGAGTGAGGCGGAGAGGAAGCAATGGAGCTGAAGTGATGCTCCAGGCAGGGACCATGCGCCACGTACAGGTAATGCTTCACATGCAACCGCCATAGCTTAGAATGGCCGCCCACCATTGGTGCGCTGCACTCACGCAGCGGTCCAGGCAGCCACAACCACCACACTGTACCTGTACGATGCAGTGGCTCTTACTGTGAGCGGTGGCAGGGTAGTCCACGTGTTGCTGCTGACGTGGTACAGCTCGGCATCAAATAACGCCTCCCCATTGGATGCATAGCCACCAGCTACCGCCACGTAGGTCTGGAGTGACAAGGTGGGAATCGGGTGGCACACGTGAGAGGCATTCGTTTCGTAAGCGCGGCAGAGAGAACCTAAAGCACTGACTTTGACGCTCATCTGCGAAAGGGCTGACGTCAGCAACTCACGAGCCTGTTACCTGGCGAGAGGAAGGGTGGGTCCACGCGGCGATGCCAAACGCGAATCGGGCGGTGGGCATGGGCGCAAGCGCGCGCCACGAGTCGGTGAGCGCGTTGTACGCGTGCGCGAACGCGTAGGCGCGCACCACCTCGCGGCAGAACACGGGGAACGGCGAGCGCCCGCCCACCACCAGCAGCTCCGGCTCGTTCGGATTGCCTGCTCGCATGCGCGCGGGGCCAGGGGCCAAAGGGGGATATGGATCATGTGAAGGGGAGGGTGAGGCGTGCGGGTGGAGGGATGCGGAGCATGCAATGATGAGATTGCGCGCATGAATGCTGCAGCAGTAAGAGCGGACCGCCACGGGTAAGTGCGCGGGAATAGAACAAGAATCATGCTTGTACGGAGGGAGGGAATGGAAAGGAAGGGAACCGGAAACACGAGATAACTCGCTAAAGGAGAGCGGGTGGGTTGGAGCGAGCAAGACGGTGTGAGGCGGCGGGCGGGTTGGGGAGGCACTGACCGACGGCGCCGTACTGCAGGCGGAGAGGGCCCGCCAGCGGCGTCACGCGCACGTCGCTTGCGTCGTCGCTCGTGCGGCACCTGCCGCAAGACGCGGCGGCGTCCGCATGATGGGCGCAGGCGCTCATGTCGATTCGGTTCATGTCGTTGCTGCTGCTGCTCCGCTGCCGCGCCAGTCTGAGGGGTTGGAAGAGCAACGGCGCCAGGGAAAAGTGTTGATCTTGGCAAGCCAACGTGGGCGGCGCGAGAGTCGCAGCAACTGGTTGAACGAGCTACCAATCTTGAAACGCGCCGGATGAGGCACAGCGGCGGTAAGCAGCCAAGAGACAGGCGGCAGCCTGCAGGCTGCCGAGAGCTCTTACCCGCGAGGCGGCTGCGCGCGCGAGAAATGGCGGCGGGCTTTGCCGGCGAGCCCTGGAAGGCGGCATCGCGGTACTCGTTCTCGAGGTCCACGCGCCACAGCTCCGTCATCCCCTCCGCGCGGCGAATCTGCGCGGGGAGAGAGGTAGATTGGGAGGAAGGGAGGAAGGCGTGGGGCCAATGCTGGCGGGGAGGTGCGATGCACGGGAATGGATCAGACGCGCCTATCGTTGCCCGCAAGTTCGAACTTCTAACCCGCGGCGGTAATTCTTTTGCATCGACCAACGGCGCCACGTGTCGAGTTGGCAAGTCGCCGGGTTAAAGAAGAAACGAGCGGTATGACACATGAGAGCGCTCGTTTCGCGAACGGTCGTCGACTCCGACAGAGCGCTGGTCGGGACGGCTAGCGACGAGCGGGGCGACGAGCGGGGCGACGAGCGGGGCGACGAGCGGGGCGACGAGCTCACCTGGTGCAGCGCGAGCGGGTCCGCGAGGCGGCGCCACGCGGCGCAGACGGTGTGCAGCGAGCGGTAGAGTGGGAAGGGCACGGCGGCGAGGCAGCGCAGTAAAATTGGTCCGGCCGGCAGCGTCGCAGGCGGGGTGCTGTCGCTGCCGGGCATAGCGACGCACGCGGCGTCGTCAGGTGAACGAGAATTGGCTGCTGCTCCTACTGTGAGACACTCCGTGTGAGGCGACATGGCTAGAGCTTAGAAATTGCTGCTGGAAATGAGGATAGGCGAAACAAACGACGGTGGGTGTGTGTGAAAGTGGGGCTAAGAATAGTCGTGATCTCTGCGATGGCTCGAGAAAGGGAGCGCTGGCATCCATGTCTGCTGACGGGGGCGACGGACTTGAAGGGAGGTCGAAGCGGTTCTGGTTCGATTATGATGCTGATGTGATGTGATGTTATAGGGGTGGCTGGCGGTGTGAGGTTGATGTGCGCCCGCTGGTACCTCTCGTCTCTTCACCCTTTCCGTTCACCGCGAGCCAGCTCGCATCCATCGCAACAAGCTGACAGAATCTGCAGTCTGCACCTAAAACAGTCTGCAAAGATCGTTGGCGAGTCGCCACCCTGCTGCCACTGCAAAAGACCCACAAATCTTCGATTTCATCCCTCCAGCCCGTTTCCCTCGACGATCAACAAGATCAACGGCATGTGCTCGTTTTGGCCACGTCGTCGATGCGATACCGTGCAACCGCAGGAAATCAGGCAGATTGGCTGCTGGTGGCGAAAATGGAGACATCGTTAATGCGATGCGACGGAGTAGGGCGATGAAATTTGCTTCGTCGTTGCGCTGATTGGCCTCTGCAACACACCAAGAAATTGCATCTCCAATTCAAACCCGTTGTAGCGCAACTCACAAGAGCCGAAGGGATCTGCTGGGAAAAGGTGATATGCCATCTGCCCGTTGCTCAAATCAACCCAAGATTCTCCCCAAAGCGTCTTCTACAGTCCGCTGAGAATCATACAGATTCAGCATCATCTCTTACATGGCTAAACTGGGGCTTATTGTCTACCTTTTCAAGGAATTGCATCTACATTTTAGTGCACACTTCCTATCACATTTTAGTACTACTAACTAATTCTATCAGGCACCCTTACTGAGACCCAATTTGGAGGCCTGGGGTTTTTTCCGGAGCATCACAGCAACTAGCTAACTCAACAGTGCACTCATTATTTGGTGGTGATGCACGGAAAACACGGACATATGAAACGGCAGTCGGAAGGAACTACAACGATGAGATTTCACGTTCAGAAGTGTCTTACGGTATGTGAGTATTGACAAGGCAATGTATGTACAATGTAAGCCATCAAAAGTGATCCACCAGACTTGGCTCTTCCCATCCCATCCAATATAGAGCGGCTGCGAATCTGTGCGTTCTTGCTGGTTCTAGCGAGCAACCGAGCAGAAGCTCTCCATCTTGCCAGCATTCCCTCCACACACACTCCACCGCATGACTACATGTGTGCTGCTCACCCACCCTGGGAGTAATTGCCCCCAGCAGCCAGCAGCAAGCGGCAAGCGGCAAGCAACCAGCAGCCAGCAGCAAGCGGCAAGCAGACTAGGGGCCGTCGATCTTGTCAAACGACTGCAGCTCTCGAAAGCCCTCCCACGGCTTCTCCCACACCACCGCCTCGTACTGCGCCGTGGCAGGCGTGGTGGCGGTGGTGGAGGGCAGGTGGGCGGTGAGGCGGATGCGGTGCAGCGTGCCCGCCACCACCTGCTCACTCGCCCCCTCCACCGCCTGCAGCCTCAGCGCCGTGTTCTGCCATGCGTGGCCCACCGGTGGGTGGGGGGGTGGAAGTGGGGAGGGTGTGGCGATGGGATGGTGGACACGCAACACATGATGGCAGTCAGAAGGGCGAACGAATCTTGATTCGCACAAACAGTATTGACAGAAATGAGCACGACAGTTGGGGGTGGGAGAAAGGCAGCAGCACTAGTGCAGGGCAAGATGGGTGCATACGAGGGTAAATTGGCTTGCACTCAGCTGCTCCGATCAACCCAGCAGCCCCCCCTCCTCCCCCCCTTTCCCCCTACACCCCCCCCCCCCCACGCCCACCCGCAAGTGCCCCTCGTCCCCATCCACCCCACCCGCACCTGCTTCTTGTTGTGCTGGTCCACTGCCCACTGCGCCAGCTGCTGCACGGCCCGCACTGTTGGCCGCCCCCTCCACCGCCTTGGCGCCCCCACCATCGCCATGCGCACGTGCGGCAGCTGCTGTCACGAGCTGCAGGGGGAAGGGCGCGGAGAGGGAAAGGCACATGCGCAACAAGAAGGGCACAGCACGGGTCCTTGCTGGTGCGTGTGTGGCCGCATATACTGGGCAGGTGGGCTGAGAGACAAGAAAGTGGTCCATGCATGGGTGGTGGTGCAGCAGGCGAGGTGCGCTAAGCACACGCGAACCCCCACCCTGCCTCATTTCGTGTCAATTTCCCTGTCCCTTCAATTTTCAATTTCACTTCACCCCATCTGCCTCTCTCTGCCCCTCTTCCCCCCCCATGATCAATCACTTGGTTGTCACAACCTCCCTGTGCCACAACAACACCCATCTCCCATGTCGTCCCAGCGACTCTCTCACACACCCTAACCTCCTTCGTCCCCTCTATCCTCACAGTGCTTCCCTCTATCCTCACAGTGCTTCCTCTATCCTCACAGTGCTTCCCTCTATCCTCACAGTGCTTCCTCTATCCTCACAGTGCTTCCCTCTATCCTCACAGTGCTTCCCTCTATCCTCAAAGTGCTTCCCTCTATCCTCACAGTGCTTCCCTCTATCCTCACAGTGCTTCCCTCTATCCTCCTGACCTCCCCGGTGCTCCTCTAAGCACCAACCAATCGCGTCCCGCCTTCCCCCAACCCAAGCGCCCCATTCCTCACTTGACCCACCACCTCACATCTAACCCCTTCCCTTACGCCCCCTTGCTCGCTCCCTCCCCCTCGCTCCCTCGCTCCCTCTCTCGCTCCCTCCCTCGCTCCCTTACTCGCTATCTCCCTCGATCGCTCCCTCCCTCGCCCGCTCCCTTCCTCTCTCCCTCCCTCCCTCTCTACCTCACTTGCTATCTACCTCGCTTGCCCACCCTCCCTCCCTCCCTCCCTCCCTCCCTCCCTCCCTCCCTCCCTCCCTCCCTCCCTCCCTCCCTCCCTCCCTCCCTCCCTCCCTCCCTCCCTCACTCCCTCCGTCGCTCCCTCCCTTCCTCGCTCGCTCCCTCCCTCCCTCACTCACTCCGCTCCCCCACTCCCCCGCTGCCCGCTCCCCGCTCACTCGCTCCCTCGCTCCCTCGCTCCCTCTCCCTCGCTCCCCTCGCTCCCCCGCTACCATCGCTCCCTCCCTCCCTCCCCGCCCTCCCTCCTCCCTCGCTCCCTCCCTCCCTCCCTCCCTCCCTCCTCCCTCCCTCCCTCCCCCGCCCCCTCCCTCCCTCCTCGCTCCCGTCGCTCCCTCGCGTCCTCGCTCCCTCCCTCCCTCCCTCCCGCGCCTCCCTCGCTCCCTCGCTCCCTCCCTCCCTCCCTCCCTCCCTCCCTCCCTCCCTCCCTCCCTCCCTCCCTCCCTCCCTCCCTCCCTCCTTCGCTCCCCTCGCTCCCCTCCGCCCGTCGCTCCCTCCCCCCTCCCTCCCTCCCTCCCACCCCTCCCGTCCCTCCCTCCTCCTCGCTCCTCCCTCCCTCCCTCCCTCCCTCCCTCCCTCCCTCCCTCCCTCCCTCCCTCCCTCCCTCCCTCCCTCCCTCCCTCCCTCCCTCCCTCCCTCCCTCCCTCCCTCCCTCCCTCCCTCCCTCCCTCCCTCCCTCCCTCCCTCCCTCCCTCCCTCCCTCCCTCCCTCCCTCCCTCCCTCCCTCCCTCCCTCCCGCACTCACTCAGAGCCGTGTGACGTGTATTAGCACGCGCCGTTGCCGGAGAGGGAAAGACGAGCGCGCGGAACGCCTGGAGGGAAATAGTTGGGGGTGTGACGGAGTGAGACGGCAGCAAGTGAGGCGGCAGCGCGCCTGGCGCCAGAAAGCGTGGCGGCACCATGCAGGTGAACTCGCCGTACGCGACAACGCTCTGCGCGTCAACTCCCAAGGTGCAGCGGCGACTTAGGCGTGAGCGCGCCACTGTAGCGCGCGCGTGGTGCCGCGCTGGTGGCTGCGAGTGCGCTTGGCACTTGCGGCAGGCTAAATTCCAGTGCTTACCTTTGTGTGAGTCGAGGGAGGAGACGTTACAAAGGAGATTGGGCCCAATGAAATCCTTCTTGTAAGAGTAGCCGGGATGAGGTTGGATTGGTAGTAGGATTGTACGAGGGCGAAACCTAGCTGGTTTTGATTACGCGGGGTATGCAACTCGCCCGATAGATCATAGGCGTGCAGGCGTCTGATACGATTGAAATGGAACCGGAAGTAACCATATGAGCTAATCAAATATATTACCGTATATTATACCGTCACGCCTGGATATACGTGGAGATGCTAAGAAAATGGAAATTTGGGGGCTGCACTTATTAAATGATTTATTCCTTAAAGCGGCAGTATACATTTGTTAGAATAAGGATCTTGGATACCGTATGATAGGTATGCCTTTGAGATGTTAAGCCGAAGGCCTGCACGCGCCTGGTTTCGTGTGTAGCAACCCTATGCGATGCGTAGCGAGGTTTCGCTGACCGCATACAGGAGCTTCGTTATTCGCCGAGTACACCTTAATAGTGCACTTCGGTATGCACTTTTCAACACTGAACCGAATTGGAGGGAAGTGACGACATTGCACAAACAAGTACGTGCAGCTACCTGTTGCGAGCACCTGCGCAACTACTCCTGGGCAGGTAGAAAATGCACCTGACGGCAATTTCACCTGGCGGTGCCAACCTGGAACCGCATACTAGAGTAGGTGCTTGCACGTTCTCCTTGAACAACGTCCGCGTAGAACGTTCTTGCACACGTCAGTATAACTCCGATAAGGTCCATGTTGTATCTGCTGTAATCTATCAATTAATCAAGCATTCGAAAGTCAAGCATGGACGGTTACGATTTGCGTACACTGAAGTCCCGACAATGACAATGACCTTAGCTCCATGGCCATGGCTGAGAGCTTTGACACTGCCAATGTGTACCAATTTCTCGCCTGATGTTGACATTGAAGCATTCGGACGATGCGCGGCTTTAAGATCTTTACAATGGTGTTCTTATAGCGTTCATTACGGGAGCCTAACCACCATTTATTGGACTACCAGGCAATCGTCCTTGCATAAACTCCTGTCAACTAAGGTTACTACACATGGTGTACAGCTTCATTATAAGCTTAGCCATGGGGATCATCGTCCTCCATCGACAAGTTCAAAACCAGCTCGCGTCAATTACTATGTTTCATCATCCCAAGGTCCATCAAGTCCCAGGGTTGTGTTTCCTCGAGGTTGCAAGCCATTCCCTAAGGATGTAGGTGACTCCTCGGGTCTGGACCTGCAACGCTTCGCCTTCAAGCACAGATGGCATAAAACGTCAGTGGTTAAGGTGCTCAGATTAGCTTGTTTCGTGGCCAACCTCTGGCTGCCAAGCTTATATCATCATCGCACAATGGTGAAAGGACGCAACAACAAGGCTGGAAAGAAGACTGCTAACGCTGCTCAAGGGATCTGTCGGTTCTGCACACCAAGCCTGGTGATGCTGCTAAGACTTCTGTCGGTGCTGCTGAAGGTGGTACCGAAGGCGTGGAAGCCGAGGATGCTAAGGAGCAAGCTGCTGACGGTGACGGGACTGATGCTGATGCTACCGCGACTGCGGAGGATGAAGTTCCTGCTGACCCTGTTAATGAAGACGACGACGACGGCTATCTAAGCGACGACTCCGACGAACATTTGGAACCTGACTCGCTTACTAGCATCATTGCCTTGAAACGCTTCCCACTAACCTTGCTGGTGCCGTTCCTCAGGAAGGCTGAAGTAAAGCGTGCTGCGGTTACAGTCGCGGCTCTGCTGGATGACTATGCGGACCAACTGTCCCCTGAAGTGCTACAGACGACGACCTACCAGGAGCTTACGGCGATGTTTTTCTCAGGCACGCGCTATGGTCGGCTCCAAGTGTTAGAATGAGAAGAGTATGTGTGATTAGGTGGAGGTTGGGGTACAAGACTAGAGTGTCGAGTGAGTTTCTGTACCCCTTAAGGCTAGCCCCAATATAGCCTAGATACTAACATGCATATGTTTTGACACACCCCCATAGGCGAAATGGGGGATAGCCAGAGCAAGCAATGGTCACAAGACCAGTCAAGAGAAGAAACAAAACACGGCTCAGGGTGGATCACAACGTCACCACACACACTGAGCACAAACAAACGGCCACAAGGCCAGTCCACATGTAGAGGTATATAAGCAGCAAGAACAGCACAGTGATCTCTACCTAGCAATGCAAACATGCACGTATATATATATATAGATCACAGTACAAGCAAGGCCTACAGCAAGTGAGGAAATGTGGGCACAAGCCCTAGCAAAGTGCAGAAACGCTGATGATCACCAGACGGAAGCGCCTTAGTGAATATATCAGCAGTGTTGGCCGGAGTGGCCACGTGACGCAGACGAAGCTGACCACGCTGCTGCAGCTCTCGAGCCAGGAAGTAACGCAGAGCGATGTGCTTTGTTCTGTGCTCCAGTCTGTGCTCCTCACACAAGGCAATGGCGGCCTTGTTGTCGACGTACAGCACTGGAGGAGAACGAGGCTGCTCTCCCAAGTCAGTCAGCAGGTAGGTGAGCCAGCGCAACTCCTGTGCAGCCATGGCTGTGGCGTAGATCTCAGCCTCACAACTGGAGCTGAGAACTGAAGACGAGCGTGTAGAACGCCACGAAACTGAACCAGAGCCAAGGCTGAAGGTGTAACCCTGTGACGACCGCTGAGTAGCCTGGTCGTCAACCCAAGAAGCGTCTGAGTGCCCAGTGAGAACAACTGGGCTCGTCCCTCCAAGCACTAGCCCCATGCCTGATGTGCTGCACAAGTAGCGCAGTACCCTCTTAGCAGCAGCCATGTGCTCAGGTCGGTGCCGACCAGGAGCCACGTAGCGAGCCAGAAGACCAAGAGGGTACGCGAGGTCAGGACGAGTGCAAGTCATCAGGTACATGAGGCAGCCAACTAGCTCTGGGTAAGGACCACTCGGCTCTACGGACTCGTCCGAAGGTGGAGCTGAGAGCGAATGACCTGTAGCCAGAGGAGTGGCCTGTGCTGAGGACCAGGTGAAGCCGAAGCGCTGAAGGACTTGCTGCACCATGTGTGACTGAGTCAGGGTGATGGTGCGGCGTGCTCTGTCCCGGGTGATCTGCAAGCCAAGGTAGCTGCGCAGCTCACCCAAGTCTGTGCACGTGTGTCTCTTCTGCAGCTCCGACTTCACGTGGGCGAGAGCCTCAGTGTCCGCAGTGGCAAACACCAAGTCGTCGACGTACACGAGGATGTAGAACGGCGGCAGTGAAGTGTCGGTGCGCAGAAACAGCGACGGGTCAGCTGTGGAGGGAGCAAACCCAAGTGCCGCAAGTGTAGTCCTCAGTGTGTCGTGCCACTCACGAGGCGCCTGGCGGAGACCGTAGACTGGCCGCCGGAGGCTCCACTGGGTACCAGGAGGGAACGACCCAGTGAAGCCCAGGGGGCGGCGCAGCCAGATCTCCTCGTGCAGGCTGCCCTGCAAGAAAGCTGTGCTGAAGTCAAGAGAGTGAAGCTCGTAGTCACGGTGAGCGGCAACGTGCAGCAGCACCCGAAGAGTGGTCATCTTCGGGGTGGGGGAGAAGGTCTGGAAGAAGTCTACTCCCTCTCGCTGACTGAAGCCTCGAGCAACGTAACGAGCCTTGAAGACAGGCGGAGAACCTGGCGGCCGCTTCACCCTGAAAATCCACATGCCACTGACGATGTTCGCCCCAGGAGGGGGAACCTCGTCGACGTAAGTGCCAGTGGACTTCCAGGATGCCATCTCTGCGTCCATGGCTGTCTGCCACTGAGAGGAGTACTCACCCGCGATCGCCTCAGCGTAAGAGCGCGGGGTCGGGATGTCTGGTGCATCCGGGTCTCCCTCAGGTGCAATCAGCATGGACACGAGATGAGGTACAGCAGCGGCAAAGCACTCAAACTCCTCCTGCCTGTCCTCAAGGACGTCCGTGCCAAGAGCACACTCACCCCCGACGGACGGAGGACAGACAGACTCAGACTCAGCAACTAGACTCGCGGCGTAGTCTAGACGACAGTGAGCAGCAAAGTCGACAAGCTCAGCAACTAAGGCAGACGCAGCAGCGGACTCAAAGGAAGGGTCAGTGACAACAGTGGCCAGGAGACGCGTGACAGTAGGGTGAGCAGCACGTACACGGTCAGACTCAGGGTCTGGAACGTCAGGCAGAGAAGACGCAGGGGGGGACGGCAGTGGAACACGCAGTGGAGCAGTGGACGGACGAAGTGTCATCTGGTGCGTGCCAGGGACAGGAGGAGGACGCGGACGTGGGACACGAGGACTAGTGCGAGCAGTGCGAACGGGCGACGCAGGACGAGACGCAGGCTCACGACGCTCAGCAAGACCTCCTGTCTGCTCAGTGTAAGGAGAAGGGGCAGGCAGTGGTGAGCCAGGCTGTAACGGAAGACCAGTAGACGACGGGAGGGTAAGAACCTGACGAAGAGCAGCGTCAGGCGGTGGCAGAGACGATGGAGACGGCGGAGCAAAGAACAGTCGTGGCTGCGCAGTGCCCCCAGCACCAGCAGCTCCACCACCTCCAGCAGCTCCAGCACCTCCAGGACCAGCGTCACTAGCAGGAGCACCCCCAGAGCCGGCACCTGTAGTCCCAGGGTCTCCTGTCGAAGTGTCCCCAGCAGCAACACCCCCAGACTCAGCACCAGCTCTAGCAGCACCGTCAGCACCTGCACCTCCAGCTCCAGCAGCACTCGCTCCTCCAGTAGCTCCAGCAGCACCTCCAGGCCCAGCAGCTCCAGCAC